GCAGGGGGGGCTCATGAGGCTAGAAACTGACGAGCTGACCAGTTGGCCCCCGTGCCACACCCAAGGGAAGTGGAAGGCCTCCAGGTCCCCTTGGGCCTTGGTCCGGCTACCCTTCCCATTTCTAGGTGTCCCTGTCTCACCTCAGCCTTGAGGCCTCCTTATCCGCACCCATGGCTCTGGCCCTCCCTCAGCCACTCCTGGGGCCCTCCGCACCACTCACAGCTGGGTGACAACATCAGCTTTTCGGGGCAGCACGAGCCTCCCCCTGCCTCTGCCCGGCCGGGGTTCAGACCTCACGGCAGCCTAGTGAGGAGGCTAGGTAAATGCCACCCTCATGTGAAAAATGAGGCACTGGGGTGAGGACCCTGGCCAGGTCCTTGGTTCTGTCCTGTCCGGATCCAGGGTCTCCCTCCACGGCCTGGAACAGCTCAGTGGAGAGTAATCAAGGTCAGCCTTGCCGCTTGGGGTGGGAGTTGTATGCTGGTGCCCAGAGGAGGCTGGATGGGAGACAATCAGGGGGCCCTTGTTCGCAAAGCTGCCCTGACACCCCATCAGGGTCCTGTCTTCTCGGGAAAGGAGTGCATGGCCAAGGCATCTGGCCTGGGGCAGAGGGCACTGTACCCCCCAATCCTCTCTACCCCGTTTTCCCAGGGCCCATGACTGCCAAGTAAAGACTACATTTCCCGAGCTCCCTGCTTGATGGCGTTCCTGCGAATGACACGTGAGGGTCGTGAGGGCTGTGTGTGACTTGCGTGTCATTTGATTAAAACAGATGGTTTCTCCTGTACTTCCTCTCTTCTGCTTTCCACGGACAGAATAGACACTGAGGGCAACTAGCCTCAGCACAGCCCTCTGGGAGCCAACGGAGCCAGATGGAAGAAACCCGGGTCCCCATTCCTGCCCATCTACCACACCAGTGTAGCTGGAAGCCCACTGACACGGGCCAGATTGCTGGGTCCAACTCTCAGAGGGCCCATCAAGTGTGGCAAGAAGCAAACTCGTTGGGGGTGGGGTGAGCAGAGGACAGCACTGCAGGACCAGTGGGGAGGCACGCAGGGTAGAGGGCAGGTGAACGAAAGGAAAGGACGAACTTTCTCCCGGCCAGAGCTGAGTGGAGAGGATGGCCTTATGTGGTCGTGGAAATATTCAAGCAGAACATGAACAATCACTTGGCTGGGCAGTAGCCGGGAAGTTTTGAGTTTTAGGTGCCACCGGGACAGGTGACAGGGCCCATGACTTCAGGAAGAGAGTAAGAACACAGCACCTTACAGTGTGCCAAGACTTGCCACCTTCGTTTCTAAAATGACCCATATGCCTCCAGGTTGCCGGCTGACCATGAGAGAAGAAGGACCATGGACAGCACCCGTGAGGCGCCTGGCCGGGCATACTTGGGGAAGGAACCCGCCATGAGGCCAGAGGTGCTGAGAGGGAGGTATGAGGGTGCACAGATCTAGGGACAGGAGCCTCTAATCCCCCCCTCTGTGACTTCCGGAAGCTCTTCCCCCACCCTGCTAGGCCTCAGTTTCCCTACCTGTTACATGAGAGCGGTGGCCCTTTTGCCCCAACTGCTTGTCCTGAGGGGCTCCCCCAGCCCCAGTCTCCACCCTCCGCTATCCAGCACTGTCAGAAAATGAGCCGGCAGCTTAATCACGAGCTGCAGGCCAGGCCGATGAGAATCAGTTCCCCAGGGCTCCATCACCCCCTGGGTGAACTGATAAAATTGAGTTTCCAAACCTGTAAACCCGTCAGCAGCCATGGCTCAGGGGTGAAGGAAAACTGCAGCAGCAGCAGCAGCAAAACCACCAACTGTAGGGAAATGGGCGCCTGAGGGCGGCCGTGGGGGCACCGAGGCGGGTGAGAGGGGAGCAGGTGGTGGGGGAGGTGAGGGACAGTTGGGCCCTGCTGTCCCTCTAAGACCAGAGCTGTCTCCAATAGAAAATCCAGTCCTTGGGTTCCAGAACCTGGAAGCGCATTCGGCCCTCAGCTACAAGCCAGGGGCCCCAGAGTCCTTCAGCGGAGCTTCGGTCTCACCATCTGGAAAATGGGAGCAGTGAGTCTGCCCGGGCTCCCGGGAGCTAACTGTGAGGCTCAAAGGGAAGCGCTCTGGCCAGGAGTCAGGAGACTTTGGGTCCAGTCCTGCCCTCCCCAGGACAGGGGATCTCAGCACCTGCCAAGGAGCCCTTCCAACAACTTGAACCTCTCGAGTCTCAAGTCCCTCATCTGTAAAATGGGATAATAAACCCTTGGCTGGCTCTCAGCCACAGGGTGGATGGAAATCCTCTTTAAACCCTGCAAAGGGACAGGGCTGAAATAACTATAGCAATGAGGACAGGGCGGGGAGAGCGACACTCCAGGGGCATCCTCAGCATGAAGGGAGGGACGGGGTGAGGGGTGTGTACAAAGGTCCCCAAACCCATCCCTTGCTGATGACAGGCTGTTGCTGCTGGTTTTCAGTCCCTGCCACCTCAGATAACAATTAGCTGGGCAATGGCAAGCACGAGCTGACAGCCCCCATTTGTTGCCCCATGTCTCTGTGCCCAATCTGCCCGCAATCAGGCCCCTGAATTATTTATTCTGTTGTTTGTTTAAAGATACGTGGCCTGCCAGTGACAGAGTGAAAAATGTCCCTGTTTCACAGGAGTGACATCTCCCCACTTTTCCCGCTCACGCCCCCTCGGTCTGGCATCCCCAGAATTAATCACCTGGCTCCCACCCAACACGTCTACAGCCCCTGCTGTCACCGAGCTAAGGGGCAGTGGGGGCAAGGGGCCCTGGCCTCCGGCTTCTACGGCAGCTCTCACCCTTCCCCTGCAGGAAGCAGGGGGCTGGGAACACTGTATGTCCCCTCGCCAAGCCTCCGCTCCCCTCCTTGTCTGGTGGGGGGTGGGGTGGGAAGGGGTAGTAATTGTACCCTGTCCCCATGTGACCAACCTGAAGAGAGTCAGAAGAAACAATGTCTATCACAACTGTCAGGGAAGGTCCCACACTCTGCTTCCCTCCTTTGGAGTCGGGGTGTTAGCTCTAGTTAGCCGCCCATGGTCCCTGGAGGGTTAATGCCCCACTCTGATGAGCCTGGGGGCCGGAGCTCATTTGACAGACCTGCTCCTGCCCCAGCAGAGTAAGGTATGAGGGATGGAACCCGGGAAGGGTAAATCTCCATGGGAAGGAGGAAAACAGAAGTCAGGAGTGGGGGGTGGGGAGCAGTGAGGGGTCCCTGCTCGGGACAGAAAGGCCTGGCTAGGGGCCGCACGTGGGGTTTCTGCAGATCTAGACACAAAAGGCCAGAGGTGGAGAGTTCTAGGAGGACAGTGCCCCTTCCCATCTCAGAGTGGAGGGCCCACGTGGCACCTGAAGGGAGGGTTGTAGGTCCCAGGGAATCTGGTGCTCTGGGAGGAAGAGCAAGATTGAAAAGAACCAGAGGTCATTTGGCAAAAGACGGCGGGGGGGGCGGTGGTGGGCAACACAGAGTCATCAGGATGTCAGTGAAAGGGGTGTGCCAGAAGCCAGGTATACTGCTCTGCCCGGAGAATGGAGACCCAGAGATAGGGAGGCCATGTGAAGTCAGGGTCAAGGGAAAGACACTGTGTGGGGCCAGCCAGCCACCACCTTGCTGTGTGACCTCAGGAGAATCCCTCACCCTCTCTGGGCCTCGGCTGCGAATCAAACCTCTAGCCCTACCCAGGCCTCACGGGCCTCCTGTCGAGATCACGGAACAGGGGAGAGGGCTTTGGGAGTAAAAAGTCCTGTTTGGATGTAGGAAGGGACTCTCCTTCTTTCCACAGGTGGCAGTCACTCAACAGGCGGAAGCCGTGCCCAGAAAGGAAGGGAGGATGCTTCACCCGGAGCCACAGGTGGGGAGCCTGTGAGAGGCGCTGCCCCGGCCAAAACACACCAGGGAGGCCAGGTCTCCTATTTCTCCTGACCTACTTGCGGATGACAAAGGGCCTCCTCTCCGGAGCCTGTGCTCCAGACCCTCCTGGAGTCCAGCTCATATCCCTCCTGCTGCCATGGCCGATGTCCATTTGGGGCCTCTGCCCCAGGACTAGAGGCAAGAAGCTGAGTGTTAACTCCCAGGTCCCTCTGGGACTGAAAGTCTCCTGGGCGGGGGGGGGCTCTGCTCCTCCTTCCCCACCAACGGGAGCCCCCCAGGACTCTCAGAGAGCAGGGGAGGCAGGAGATGCTGCCATTTAAACTATTTGGGCACTTGCAGGATGTCCGGGGAGAGAGCCAGCATCTCAGAGGGGGCAGGGTGACCATAGCAACCCCTCTATCTCTCACCCCACAGGTGGGAGACCCCATGGCTCACCTCCCAGGGCAGAGGCCTCCGTCCTTCTGAGAAGGGAGCAGTGATACTACCGTGGAGGTCAAGTCCAGGCCGGGTGCCTGCTGGCTGCGTGACTTGGGTGAGTCCCTAATCTTTCTGAGCCTCCCTTTACTCTTCTGTATTACACAGATGATAAAAATACCTGCCTTTCAAGGCTGCTGTGAAGACGAAAACTGGTACATGGTAGGTGTGATACACAATCAGGGTTTAGGAAATGGTCACCACTATTACAGGTGCCCCCAAGGTCTAACCTGTCCCTCACATGCTCTGCCTCTCTCTCCTCTCAATCTCTTCTCACAGAGGGCTGGCTGCAGGGGGACCAGAAAAGTTGGCAAAGATGGTGGCCTTGCTCCCTCCCATGTACATTCCTGCCCAGGCCGAGACCTTGGGCCTGCCCCTTAGATGCCAAGGTCCCTGTGTCCTTCTGTCTCCCCATCCCCCTCTACTGCTGAGGTCTCCTTGGACAATCCCTTGGGAACACCCTGCTACCTGAGAACTGAGGCCTCTGAAGGCCCTCTGTCCAACTCACTCCTTCCCTTACCCATCCTGGGGACCCACATCCTGAGGCCCCATACCCTCAGGGCCCTGGTAGAAGGTGGCCAGGCTGGCACCAGAGACTCTGTGCCCAGGTTACTTAAGGACCAGAAGGCAAGGGCCCTCGAGACAACCCCTTGACCAGAGAAATCCCAGAGTCCCCCATCGTTCTGCATGAACCACATTCCCCCATGGCCTCACCACAGGTGGGCAGATATCCCTGGAAGGGTGTAGCCAGGGCTAGGTGGTGGGGGGGACCTTGAGGTTCTCTCCTGGTTACTAGGATGGGGCAGGGCAGAGGGGCACTAACCTGGTGCATCAGGGTTCTCCCGGAGTTCCCACTCACCTGTGGCTTCGGGGCTCTCCCAGTACCCACTGAGGACCCAGCTCTGGGAGGGGCGTGGCCTGGGTCCCCGGGGGTGGGGGGCGGGCCTTGTTGAAGGAGGAGACTGGCCTGGGCGGGCCCAGAGGGAAAGGAGCAGGGCTGGGCACTCACCTGGGGTCTCCAGGTTCTCGCAGAGCTCAGACTTGGCCTCACCATTGGGCCGGAAGCTGCCCTTCTGCGTGAACTTGTTGGACATGGTGGCGGCGGTGACGACGGCTTTGAGGCTGCGCTTGCGCTTGGGCACATTCTGCTCCGGGTGGAAGAGGATGATGTAGACCTTGGGCATGTAGAGCATCCCCAGGGACACCGAGGCGCTCAGACTCACCGAGACGGTCAGCGTCGTTGTCTGGATGTACAGCTGGAGGGGGGCCAGGGGACGGCGTCAGAGAAGGCTCCGCCTGGCGCCGCAGGGGCCCTAACCCCAGAGACAGACACACAGAGGACAGACCCCGGGAGCCCTGTGTCCCACTGACTTTGGGCAAAAGGGAGTCAAGGTATAGAGCCAGGACTTTAGACCAGACCAAATCCTGGCTTTACCACTTCTAGCTATGTGACCTTGGACAAGTCCCACCTTGTGCCTCAGTTTCCTCACGTATAACACTGGCATGATATGATAGCACTTACTTCATAGGGTGGCTGTAAGGGTGAAATGACTTGACAAACGGTGAATGGACATAGAACAATGCCCGGCACGTGCTACGTGCACGGAAGGGCTCCCCACTCCTACGTGCTATAGGGAGGTAGGGCCCTCAGGGGACCACAGCTGAGCCTCCCAGGAGCAGTCC